CTGCCCTCTGGTAGTCAGTGCGTCTGCCCCCTGGTGGTCAGTGTGCATCATAGCGACTGGTTGAATGGTCGAAAAAAATAGTTGGACACTTAGCATATTGGGCTTTTATTATATAGGATTATATATAGTAAATTTGTTATATGTGGTAAAATGAAAATACCATGACATATTTCTAGGCAGCAAACTTTTCGTGATTGATTACAAGGCTCCAAACATCCCAGGTTACCTTTTACTGTAGCTCGAAAGCTAGTTACCATAGGATTCTCTTTTAGTTTTATGTGATATATTAGAGGCCCGGTACATGGATTCATGCACCTGTGGGGTCCCTGGGCCTGGCCTGCGGCTTTCCGACATCCCCCGAGGGGTTCCAGACTGCAAGAGGGCACAGGCCAGGCTGAGGGACCCCACTGGTGCATGATCCGGGCCAGGGAGGGACCGCAGGAGGACTCCAGGGCTTGTTCAACCCATCTTGCCCAGTCCCGATCAGCTGGACCCCAGCAGCAAGCTAACCTACCAGTCAATGCATCTGCCCCCTGGTGGTCAGTGCACATCATACCGACTGGTTGAATGGTTGAAAAAATAGTTGGACACTTAGCATATTGGGCTTTTATTATATAGGATTATATATAGTAAATTTGTTATATGTGGTAAAATGAAAATACCATGACATATTTCTAGGCAGCAAACTTTTCGTGATTGATTACAAGGCTCCAAACATCCCAGGTTACCTTTTACTGTAGCTCGGAGCTTCCAGGTGCATGAGTAAGTCACCCAGGGCAAACCACAGCTGTGAGAAATCAGCACGTCACTGTCAGTTATGACTCAGCAGGAGGAAAACTGGTGACTATAATTAGGTGTGACAGTTTCTTAATGGTCCAACTTAATCACCCTTTTTAAGTTGGGTTTCATCTCTGCATGTGTCACGGTCTTGTCCTGAAATGTCAAAATACTGAGGAAATAGATAAACACAGCGAAGAAATATAGAAATCGACATGGATTCATGCACCTGTGGGGTCCCTGGGCCTGGCCTGCGGCTTTCCGACATCCCCCGAGGGGTTCCAGACTGCAAGAGGGCACAGGCCAGGCTGAGGGACCCCACTGGTGCATGATCCGGGCCAGGGAGGGACCGCAGGAGGACTCCAGGGCTTGTTCAACCCATCTTGCCCAGTCCCGATCAGCTGGACCCCAGCAGCAAGCTAACCTACCAGTCAATGCATCTGCCCCCTGGTGGTCAGTGCACATCATACCGACTGGTTGAATGGTTGAAAAAATAGTTGGACACTTAGCATATTGGGCTTTTATTATATAGGATTATATATAGTAAATTTTTAATATGTGGTAAAATAAAAATACCATAACATATTTCTAGGCAGTAAAATTTTCATGATTGATTGCAAGGCTCCAAACAACCTTTTTACTGTAGCTCCGAGCTTCCAGGTGCATGAGTAAGTCACCCAGGGCAAACCACAGCTGTGGGAAATCAGCATGTCACTGTCAGTTATGACTCAGTGGTAGAAAAACTGTTGACTATAATTAGGTGTGACAGTTTCTTAATGGTCAAACTTAATCACCCTTTTTAAGTTGGGTTTCATCTCTGCATGTGTCACGATCTTGTCCTGAAATGTCAAAATACTGAGGAAATAGATAAACACAGCAAAGAAATATAGAAATTGAATCTCAGAGCCAGCTCCCTTTATCTGTCACCCATTTCTAGAGAGGGATACTGCCTTGGAATTTGGGGAGTCTTTCTTTTTAAAAAAAATCTTTATTGCTGAAAGTATTACATATGTCCCCCCTTGCCTCCCATTAACCTCTTCCAACCCAGCCCCTGCCCCCTACCCCAGGCCTTCACCACCCTACTGTCTGTGTCCATGGGTTATGCATGTATGCATACAAGTTCAATGGTTGATCTCTTCCCACACACCCACCCTCCCCTGCCTTCCCTCTGATGATGAGTGGATTCAACAGCTAGGGATCATTTCTTATAACAACGTTAACCCAGGACCATGTGCATGCACTAGCCTTCCCCCTTGCCTCCCATTAACCTCTTCCAACCCAGCCCCTGCCCCCTACCCCAGGCCTTCACCACCCTACTGTCTGTGTCCATGGGTTATGCATATATGCATACAAGTTCAATGGTTGATCTCTTCCCACACCCCCACCCTCCCCTGCCTTCCCTCTGACGATGAGTGGATTAAACAGCTAGGGATTATTTCTCATAACAACATTAACCATGTGCATGCACTAGCCTTCCTACATAGACATCTCTCAAGGCCCAGCCTCCAAGTCCTGAGGTCTGTAGGACAACCTGCTTTGGAAGCAGAACCAGTGATGAAAGCCTCAAGGGTGAAACACCTAGAGAACTTCCATAGCTAGAGCCACTCTCCCCGCCACACACTGCACACAGACTGGCTTTTAGGAAGGAATCAAGATTCAAGTTATAGGAGAAGGAGGGTGAGCTGCATCTGTCCAGTATTCTCACCTGCATCAACACCTGTCCTTAAATCAGAGCCTATTACCAGTTCCTATGTGAGAATACCTGTTGGGAAGCATGAGACTTGGAAAGTTTGTAAAGGGAAGCATGAGACTTGGTTGGAAAGTTTGTAAAGAGGGAATTCTGATAAAAGGGAAGTGTGTGGAAGGCCGCCTGCCCTGTTTATTGGAATTCGACTTAGGGGAGACTTTGGGGAGCGTAAAGCGGCGACTCTCATTATTCCTTGACCTTTCCAAACAAGTCTGTGCAGGAGCAGTCCCCTGGGTGTTTACTGGAATCCTTGTGCTTAATCCCCAGATGCCTCTTTCCAAACAAGTCTGTGCAGGAGCAGACCCCCGGGTGTTTACTGGAATCCTTGTGCTTAATCCCCGGATGCCCTTGCCTAGAGGACATTGTAAACACAGGAGTCCTCCCAAGGTTACTCACCCTACTGATTGTACCTAAAGACAAAAACTGCAATAAAAGGCTAAGGAGGCAGGCAATCGAGGCTGCCTGGTCCTTTGGCCAGACCGTCCCTTAGTCTCTCTTTCACAGCAAAAGTTGTGTCAGAGTAATCCATTCATCCATCCCTCAGGGGCTGCTGGTCAGCCCTGGCAAATACCCACCTCAAATTCTAGCTTCTCAAATGCCACCTCTCCTAGGTGCTGAAGCTGTCATCTCAACCAGACATTTCATATGCATTTTGCAATGGGCTTGAATTCTCATAATCTTCCCTCTCAAGCCTGTTATTCTATTTTTCTTTTCTTGGTTAGTGGCATCACTGTTCAGTTGACCAAGATAGAAATATAGAAAGCGCCAGTAGCTCCTGTCCCTCTGCTTCCTTTTGAGTCTGCTTCTGATAGGTTCCCTTGCAGCTGTCTGACGCATCCCAGCCCTGTTAGTGCTGCCCTAGAACAGAATCCGTCACCTTTAACATGGGTCCTGGTAGTATGTTCCTGAATATTCTCCCACCCCCTTCTCCCTTCAACTAAACCTCTACACTACCATCAGAATATGTATATGTGTGTCTCAGGCATGAAATGACCATGTCTTTGTCCAAAACCACTGATGATTTCCCCATTGACTCTACGATAGAGACCTAACTCCTTGGCATGTTAGTCAAAGGTTTTACTAACCTGGTTCTTGGCTATTTTCTAGGCTCACCTTCAATCCCTTCTTAAACCTTCTTCACTTATAATCCAATCAAAATCTATCGTGCTTTTAAAAGGCTGCTTCTTTTTTACTACAGAACTTTTTTAAAGTTCTCTACCAGAAAATGTCCATGTCTCTGCTGATATTCAATAAAATGGCACCTCCTTTTTAGCTTCTCTGGGCGTTCTAGCCTTTTCTCTTACCTTACAGGAGATTTACTTGTTTCTGTATTTATATCCCCTTAGCACTTTCTATGTTCCTCCATTGCAATAGCTGGCACATTGCTTTGAGCTTTAGTTTACATAACTGTCTCTTCCATTGTATGACCAGTTCCTTAGGGCAAGGCCTGTTTTTTAGTCTCCAGCAAATCCTTAGCAGATTCCTCCATTCATTTCTATGAAGCATCTACTCTGCAGTAGTAAATAAGACAGCAATGGATAAGTCAGGCATGGTCCCTGCCATCTATGCTTTAACATAGATTCTAATAGTGGAAATGAATAGGCATCCAGATTTGATGATGGTGTCTTAACTAAGCTGATATTGGTGGAGATGGTATATTCAGGAGTAAAATCAACAGCAATTCCTTATCACTGGTTGTGGGGATGAGAGTAGAGAGCCAAAAATTCTTAGGCCAGCCAAGGTGACTGGCCTAAGAATTAAGTGAATCTTAGGTTCCATTAATAAAATTAGTGCTGTGATTCTTAGCACTAGAGAACTGAGTTTACTTGTAGGATATAATCAAACTTTACTGTGCTTAGAACTAACATATATGTTCAGAAAAATGTCTACATGAATTACAGTTTTTATAATTTTAGTAGAAATATTAAGCATATATATATATATATACAAACAGTTGGTAAGACCACATCATGTTTTTCTGAAAAGCTGAAATTAGAAAAATTCTTAGGATTAGTATTAAATACGTTTAAATAATGTTTCTTTAAATACACAAGGAGAACTTTAAAACTGATGTCATGATAGTTATGTCAGTTCCTCATCAACAGCATTATAAAGTAGTGTTATTATTCATAATGTATATTTTTTAGACACTGTTGTTGGTCTCAGTGAACTTTTTACAAACAGCTTTCTTAAGGTATAATTGTTCAGTGAACTTTCAATAAGTGAATGAAGGTAAACATAGGGCTAACATATTATAAAATTTAAAGCACTTGCTGATAATCCTTAAAGGAATAGCCTAATTGATTAATATACTTGAAATTATAGTGACTCTTCTTTTAAGCAATAATCGGTAAAATGAATTAAAAGATAAAATAATACTATTATTACTTCCAGAGTTGTGTAACTATGAGTTTTTTTTCATGATATAACTTCATGTCATACTGTGTTATCTAATTAAGTTTTTTTTTCCTTCTAGATGAGCAAGAGATAGTACAAAAACGAACTTTCACAAAATGGATCAACTCTCATCTGGCCAAGGTAAAGGAAACTACCAGAGTTCTGTGTTTACCTAGTTTGAGCCAATAAATCATTAAATGTGCAGTATAAAGTCATGCTGCTTTTGCTGTGGTTGAAATTACCAATCAGTGATATTGTCAACCCCATCAGTTTAACTGTTGCCTACATACAGCACTAGCTCACATTGCTCTGGGAGAAAGCCTAGAGCCAAGAGCAGCTATCCATGTCAATTCAAGGAATCTTGAAATATCCATCCAGTTATTACTCCTGTCCTAGGATGTGTGCCATATGAAAAGAACTGGTGCTGGATTTTCTTTTCTGTGTTTGTTTCAATTTGGAACAGAAAGCAGCAAGGAGTGGTCTGTCCTAAGCAAAGAATTCTATCTGAAGAGGTCATAATAGTGTCTCTGGTGCTTTGATAGGAAGTAACCATGGTGGGAGGACACTAAGAGGGCTAATCATTCTGAGATTATTGACACTGACATTAGGTTTTATCAGTGACTGTATTTGTACAAACTCCAATACAGCTATAGAGTTCAAGCCTCTTTCATTTGTGAAGCATCTCTGACCGCATGCGAGACAGCACGCCTGTCCCCTAGCAAATGCTCAGGGCCATCCCCCTCCTTTCCCTGGGTTTCCTGCCTCTGGTACGGAAGGATCTGAAATCTCTGCCCTAGTCCAGAACCTGCAGCGTAGGGTCTCTGGTGCTTTGATAGGAAGTAACCATGGTGGGAGGACACTAAGAGGGCTAATCATTCCGAGATTATTGACACTGACATTAGGTTGTATCAGCGACTGTATTTGTACAAACTCCAATACAGCTATATTAGAATAAAACTAGAGGCCCAATGCACGAAATTCATGCAAGGGGCTCGGCCCTCGCAGCTGCAGCTTGCCTCAGCCCTCACAGCCCCAGCTTCGTCCGGAAGGTTGTTTGGCTGTCTGGTCTGATTAGCATATTATGCTTTTATTATTATAGATTAATCTCTTATCTTGCTGATGAAAAATATGCAAACAAAAAAATCATTGCATTTGTGAAAATAAATGCAGACAATGGGACAATTGTCTGACTTGAGTGACAGGATTCTTTGGCTGAGAGCTGTGCCTACAGTGTTCAAGGCAGAACCCTATGAGCAGTTTTTGATAAGAGATTTCCCCAAAGTCTCTTTTATGGTTCAGAAGCAAACAAAACACAGCAATGTATTTCAGCCCAACTGTACAAATTAACTGCTTACTGTGGTGTCTCTAAGAGGCTTTGGTGACAGGAAAAAATTAGTAAGACACTTTCCCAGGCCTTGAAAAGTTCGCAGTCCAGACAAGATTGAAGACAAGAACAATGTGTCTAAATACAGGATGAACTGGGATGATCTCTCCTACAATCCCTTTCCAAAAGCCACGTGGTGAGAGGGAATTCTCTGGCCCAGGGGTGCACCCAGCTTCTACTCTAGGAAACGCAGCAAATGCCTCTCATTTTCTCAGGTCCTGGCCAGTGCCAGCAGCGATCACTTACACCACAGAATTAACATCCATTGGGAGGGTTACTTCTTTCTTAAATGAAAATAGAGTTATTGTTTTTTCATATTGTTAGAAGATTACATGCTAATTGTAAATAATATTAACAATATACCTCTTACAAGTGTAAGAAAGTAAAAATCACCTCAAATCTTACAATCCTGATAGAACCATCCCTAACATATTAATCGCCACTTTTCTACACAGGGACACACGATTTCACAAAAGTGGTTTTATAGGATCGTGGTTGTATGCCTCTGTTTCATGCAGCACATCTTTCCATGTCAATAGTCACAGAGCTACATAGTCATATTAATGGATGAGTAATTTTATTATAAATATATAAGTTATAAATCATAAAGTACTCAGTAGCCTATTGATGGTCATTTACGTGGCTTCTAGTTGGTACTATACAGAACCCTACACTGAAAGTCCTTGAGCCTATATCTTTGATCACTTGTGTGATTTTTTCTTAGGATAAATTTCTAGAAGTGGGCGGATAGTCAATAGGCATATGCACTTATAATTTTAATATATACCAAGAGCTTATGTGAATGCCCATTTCCTTACACTAGTAACGGACAAAGAAGCTACAGTGTTTTCTAATCTGATTGGCGAATATAATTTATAATTAATTTTTAATTTTGTTTAAGTAAGGTTGAATACCGTGAAAGTTTTTTTGTTTAAGTAAGGTTGAATACCTTTGTGAAAGTTTTCAAAGTAAAATTCTTGGGACACACTCATCTATTATGCACCGAATCCTTAAAAAGAAGGGGAAGTCTGAATAGATGCCATGCCATACAGTATGTGAAGGGCCTTTGTGGAGCAATTATCTTCCAAGAGTTTATTTTCAAGTCTGTTTTGTAATTGCTGTCTTATCATTGCTTCAAGTTGCTTTACATAGTGATGTGGTAACTGGCTATTGCAATAGGCTTTACCGATGTGTGTTGTTTTTTCTGGTCTCTTCCAGCCCTGCTCTGTGACCTCGCCCCTACCATTTCCCACCTAAATATCTAAGCCCTCCCTTTACTGTGGAGTTCAAGCCTCTTTCATTTGTGAAGCATCTCTGACCACATGCGAGACAGCACGCCTGTCCCCTAGCAAATGCTCGGAGGATGTTAGCAGTTTCCCTGCACCCCCTCCCAGGGCTATCCCCCTCTGTTCCCTGGGTTTCCTGCCTCTAGTGCGGAAGGATCTGAAATCTCTGCCCTAGTCCAGAACCTACAGCGTAGATGAGGTTCAGCATGCCTTAGATTATCTGGTACTGTTCCCTATCTCAGCCTCCCAGTAACATTGTGAATCACTAAGGCATGTGCTAATTCTTGGAATTTCTTTATAAGTCCCAATAGCTCTAAGCACAGTACTGAGTACCATACAGAGATATTTGATAAAACAACAGCAAAGAGTCTATATCTTCTCTTGATTTTTTTTTATAATAGTAAATGCGTTTCTGGCACTGTGCTAAGTACTTCACACAGGCTATTTTCAGCCTTCATCTCCATGAATTGGTGCTGCTGAGATTTTAATCCAGACATGAATCTAAAGTCTGCGTGGTTTTTCCTACTTTGCACATTTTTGCATCTATTGTATTATTTTGAAAGACCAAGAAAATTATGAAAACCTCCACAACTGCTCCATTATAACCCTAATGTGATTGTTTTTGCTCTTTTTTTTTTTTATCCTCTCCTCTGCTCTAGTGACTTTTTCTTTCCTGAGTTACCTGGAAAACTGAGAACGGAAGCAGAACAAGGATACTTATACTTGTTATCCTGAACTTGTTTATACTGATGCTGTGGTATCTTGTCAAACATAGCCAAACCCACAAATTCATTGGAGAACACTTTCCTTTCCTGATGCACTTATATTGCAAAAACACTGCAAAGATCAAATTTGACCCCGTTACCCTTCCTCGGCTGTTGACAGTTTTAGGACAGCTATAGAGTTGAGCTTTGTGTCTTTATCTGTGCCAGCAGCTGATCACATGACCCCCTATTATCCCTCCCTCTCTTCCCCAGCTTTTGCCCACCTTCACCCCCGAGTTTCTATTTACAGCTCCATTTCTTTCTCATTCTCCCACCCATCTCTGACCCATGCCTGTCCATCTCTAACTCTCCCAGGCTCTCTCCTCCTCCATCACAAGACTACTCAACCTTCTGTCTCTATCTCCATCTCTCCATCCCCATTTCTATCCTCATTTTCATTGCTATTCCTACCTGTAACCTGTACCTCTAAAAGCACATGTGCTTCTAGGCTTCATAGTCTCATGGAGGTCACACTTCCATACACACCCAAATTAAAAGGGAAGCACACATAGGCCTTCCCCCTGCGGTGTGCTCGCTTACTCCTGAGAATGACAATCTCTCTCTCTGACAGAAACAAGGTCAATTTCATGTCTTTGGTTCAGTATCTGGACCAGGACATCGTGTCACTTTTCCTGCTGTCCCTGTGAGGAGACTTGCTCCCAAAGCAATTCTGTGATGCTAGAGTGTGCTTGGTCCCATCACTCTAGCACTTTGCGGGCATGACAGCAAGCATATACATGTGCTCATGC